TGATTAAGAAATAATGAGAGAATTCCAGGAGGGTTGTTTATGTGTGGAATGAACTTCCTGAGGAAGGGATGGATGTGGGTACAATTACAACATTTATAAGACATTTGGATAAGTACATGAATAGGAAAGGTTTGGAGGGATATGGGCCAGGAGCAGGCAGTTTAATTTGGGATTATGTTTGGCATGGACTGGTTGGACCGAAGTGTCTGTTTCCGTACCGTATGACACTTGTTGTTAAGACCGGGTTAGCAAACCAAACCATATCGTCTCATTACCGCTGGATTTGCAAAACTGAAATTAAAACAGCGACCCTCAAAAGTGCTCAATTGTTCCTAAGCAGATTTGACGAGTAACAGATTTTGGACATTTGTTATTAAGAACATAACTTCAGCAGAACTACAAAGTGATCTAATATCTACGATCTAAGCCCGATCTTCTTTGATCATGAATGATCACTCTGTCACCAACAGACAGAGTTAAGGGACACATTTAAAGGAAATAATTTTCTGATTGGATAAATGTTTCAACAATGAATACCAAGCCTTTGTGAAATCCTTGGATGTTGGGCTGGGTTATCGGGATGCGGGACTGTATATCTTCGAATAGCTTCTGCAGACCTCTGGAGACTTTAACTTATATCCTACTGATTGGGATTGTTTTCTCAGAACTTTCAACAAGTTGATGATTAGAGAGAGCAAAAACCAAAAACAGCCAAAGAAGCTTCCAAAACAAGACTGCTTTCTGCCCAAAACCCAATCAGAGCTAGTTCACGCTCTGTTTTCTCTTTCAACATTCTCTGTGGTTGGCTAGCCAGCACCAGTCCTTCTTCGATTTGACCAATTTAACATCCAACCAGCTGCCAGTCCCCAAGCATAACAACATCGCAGTGCTGAAACATCTACAATGTGCTTAGAAGCAGTAATTAACCTGTGTTATCTGTACAGGCCAGTTCCCCATAGCAAATACCTGTAATATGTTCTCTCCTCGTTTTTAAAACAGGCTGCTGTTCAAAGTTCAAATCGAGATCATAGAGTCATGGTCTACAGCATGGGAACAGGCCCGTCAGTCGAACTTGCCCATGCCACCCAGTTTTTGCAATTTAAATGAGTCCCATTTGCCTGTGTTTAGTCCATATTCCTCCATACTTCTCCCATCCATGTACCTGTCTAAATGTTTCTTAAATGACAAAATTGCATTCACTTCCACCACTACCTCTAGCAGCTCATTCCAGACACTTGCCACCCTCTGTGGATAAAATTGCCCCCCTGGATTCTTTTGTATCTCTCCCCTCTCAATGCATATCTCAATGCATGCCTTGGTTCCAAACCAAAAATGAGAGAAGTAAAATAAAAATAGTGGTGCTTTCTCAACGTACATGTGAATAAGTATATGAATAAGAAAGATTTGGAGGGATATAGGCCAGGAGCAGGCAGGTGGGACTAGTTTAGTTTGGGATTATGTTTGGCATGGACTGGTTAGTTCGAAGGGTCTGTTTCCATGTTGTATGACTCTGACTTGTGTTAGAAAGAGCTCTGCAACCAATAAATTCAAAGTGGAGTCATTGTTGTGATGGAGGAAACACACCACCCAATTTGCACACAGCAAGCTTCCACACAAAATAATGTAATAATGACCTGATCATCTACGTTTAGTAAGGTTGATTGGGGGGATAAATATTGGCCAGGATGCAATTGATAATTCCCCTGCTATTCTTCAAAAAGAGTGCCACGGTTCTTTTATGTCCATTTGAGAGGGCACGTGTGACCTCAATTTAATGATTGGTTTGACAGAAGGCACCTGCCTCTGACAGTGCAGCACTCTATCAGTACTAGCCTGGAATCTGAGTGTGTCAATCTGCTTTCGTTTTTTGTTCTCAAGACTAGAATGCTACCATTTAAGTCAACAACTATGAATAGGAATTTGTTCATTTCCCTCTGTACTTTCCAACTGCTCTAAGAATTCTGAGACTAATTTTGATGCCACTGATGAAATCTGGCTAAGTTTAACTCCTTGTCAGAGCAGACATTCTTTAATGAGAGGTTGTTCAGTTTATCTTTACTAGGATTGGGTGCCCAAAATAGCGGGATTCTGCTGTCTGGACAAACAGGTGAGAAATAATAAAAACAATGAGGTGGTTACAACGGGAATGTGGGTGTTGGCTTTCCATGATCCCACCTTGTCAGTGGGTGCATTTTAAATTCAGTTAAATAAATCTGGATTTGAAATGATTCTTAGGCTTGAGTAGCCAGATGGCCTATTTCTGCTCCTAGTTTCTATGTAGAATATCTTACTAATCCTTTGATTTACAACCGCTAAGCATTCAATCTAGAGTTTGGAATATTTAACCTGTGCTTGTTGTCAATCTTTGCAAGATTGAATATCTGCTCTGCAGTGAGCATGTGGTGTAGCATGTGGTGTCAATATCAGAAGAGACATGTCCAAAAGATTTGTATGGTTGTTTTTTAATTATGAAACCAATGGGCATTTAATCAAGTTACATAATCCAGTTGTTGCCTGGCCAACATTTTATTTCCTGTGGGTTAATAACCAGTATTAATAGACAAAGTGCCTGAATAGTTCAGCTAAAAGCATTTTGGAATGCAAGTGGCATGTTGATATAGAATGCAAATTAGATTTATTTCTTGTTTAAGACCTGAGAGGGTTGTTTGAGGATCCATGTATGAGATGCTGCCATTCTTGCTGGTGGAAATAAAACCAAATAATTCATTTAGGGGTTTTAAATCAGCCTTTAAAAGTAAAGTGCAGGTGATGTGATTGTACATTGTGACAGCTGATTCTTATGTAGATGACAGCGTGTTTAAAATGACAGTACTGAAACATTTAGAACAGACTCTTTAAAGGGCCAAGGGTGTAAGATATTACTGTTTGTAAAATGTTTTTACTTAAGCATTGTGCCAGAGTGTAAAGTGGCAATATCTGTCTAGATAAATGTAGAAATAATTTTAAGAATTTTCAGAAAGCCTGTATTGGTATGGTAATGCAATGATTGTTACTGGACTGGTAGTTCAAGAGGCCACAAATTCAAATGTTTCCATGGCAGGTTGAGAAATTAAATTATGTATTTAAAGCACATTTGGAAATGAAATATTAGAATCAGACCATGAAGAAAGCTGATATTCTTATTGGATCTGGCTTGTTTCATTTCAGTCTCATGCTGGCTTTGGTTTTTAGCTGTTCTCTGAAGTTATACAAAACTACTATAATATATGGTTCAAGAGGAATGCCCACTACCACCGCCTCGAAGCAGCACCTGCTAGCAGTGAGAATAAAAGAGTGCGCATGACGTCACGACAGCATGGAAAGCGTCACTGCCAGATCTCCCAAGAGTAATCTAACCTCCATCTTTGGAGCTCTGAAATTTTCTCCCCCAAATTGCATAGCTAATTCATTTAGAAATGGCTGATCATCTCTGCTTTTACTACCCTTGAAGGCAGTGTGTTTTAAGTTGTATCCACTCATAATAAAATATTCCTTTACCCCAGCAAACCCCTGCCCATATCTGTTGCTCAACACCTTAAAAGCAGATCACAATACCTGAAGCAAGGATTTGGAATCATTGATTTATCGTGTACACCTATGTTGGATCTCCCGGCAGCTTCCAATGCTCGAATGAGAGCCGTCTCAGATTCTACAGTCCACTTGGAAGCTAAAATATGTCATCCCTGAAACCGTTCTGTCAAAGACCAGCATCCTCCTTAAAACATAATGAACAGAGCTAAGGGCAATACTCCTACATGTGACCAAACCAGAACCTAAGGCCCAGTATACTTTCCTCACTTCTGCACTCCTACCTTTCTTTCTGAAGCCCAAGATTTCATTAACTGTGCTGACTACTCTTTCTGTACATCCTGCTATCTTGAAAGATCCAATCACATGCACCCATATCTCTTTGTTTTAAAAGGTGTGCAGGGCCAATGCTATTAAATATTTGTTGTCCCTCCTAAAACCTTCAGCCAAAATGAACCAACACATTTCTCAGCCTATTCTGCTGGCCTGTCTTTTTACACTATTCATGCTATCCTCACTATTTGCCATATGGTCACATTTGCCTGTTAGTTTTTTTCCTTGCTTATTGTTTTAAAATCCTTATCCACCACAAATGTTTTAACTGGCCTGTATTTGCTGGGAATGGTCATCCTTCTTGATTTGCAAGTAGAAGTCTATTTCTTGGTGCCACTTAGTAAACTCAAGTCACTTAACTGGTATGAACACATTGGATGGATTATTCCCACGCCTGCAGAGAAAGGCTTGATTGTGAAATTTCACTGGTGAAAGCACAGAAGCAGTACTTTTGGACCTTTTGTATCTGTGCTGGATCTTTGAAGGAGTACCTCACTTAGTACCCTTCCTGTCTACTCCATGTAGCCCTGTATATTCTTTTTCAGATAATAATTCAGTTCCAAATCCTTAATCATTCACTGCACAATAAAGATGTACCTAATGTTGCCATTGCTTCTGATGCCAATCAATTTAAATCTCTGTTGTCTTAATCTCGTTCTAGATCTCTCCACCAATGTGGACAGTGTCTGTTTATTTGCATCCAGACTCCTCAGATTTTGATTGCCTGTATCAAATCTCTTGCTAACTTCCTCATCTCTAAGGAAGAGAGTTCCAAAGGTGTTTTAAAAAATGTTACTAAGTATTGAAAATGCCCTATAGTTATTTGTTTGCATCAACTTCTGATCAAAATTGCATTTTTTAGTACCAAAGATCATGTTCTGTTTCAACTATTGAGTTCCATCTAATTATACCTAGTACTTGTGATAACCAGGAGGAAATTGGCATAATTATTGTATTGGATTTCATTTTAATTTCACCTTGGCACAGTTGTGAATTATATTTAAGTTTGAAAAGTAGCTTTTGTATAATGTGTGGCACTTTCAAAGCTCGTGACAGCAAATGTAAATGTGAGCATCTACAATCATTCATAAAAATACTTTATTCAGATTCCCTTTTAACTAATTATTTATCACTTACAGAACAAGAGAGATGAACATCTACTCAAGAAAAGAAATGTGCCACAGGAGGAAAGTTTAGAAGATTCTGATGTGGATGGAGATTTCAAAGCTGTAAGTGAAATCCATAATATGGAAAATAGGTATAAACGTACATTTTTTACGACTAGATTGTATATACCAAGTGCGTGTTTACAAATAGTTGTTACATATCGGGTTAAAGTAAGTCACTGAGAGACTATGGCTGGCGTAGCACCCAGTTGTTGCTATTAATTGTTTTAAAGTAACCTTTTCGGAAAAGAGATCATGGTGTTGATGATTTAAATCTGTTCAGTAACATGGGTCCAGTTTGGTGAAAGCAGGAGAATTTGGTGGTCACCATTTACGACATGGGGCCAAATGTAATCTTTTTAGGTAAAATTAATGATATACATCAAATGGACATGGGGACCAAAGTATAACATTTTGGAATTGTAGTGAGGGTAGAAGAATTACTTGGTAGTTGTATGAAATGTTTGTGTATTGAAACTTCAGGGAAATATAAAGCATTCAGTGTTAAAAAAGGATTAATGGTAGCTTTAGTTCAAGAATTTGGAACATTTCATATTTTCCCTAAAACTATTTTCATTGTGCTTGATGTGGCGTACGTAATTTTCTTTATAACCAATTTATCTAATGTTAGTTTATTAATAAACCTCTAGTTAAACAAATCACAGTGCATTTGTAACCATTTGATAGTCACACTTACCAAAGTACATATAAGCATTAATTTTTGTGGGGAATTCAGTCTATGTTGGCATATAACAGTACAAGTACAATGCTGAAAGTTGGGCTGTTTTCATGGTTTTATTCTGAAAACCTTGTGTATTGTTCCAAATCATCAAAGGTTGAAGATGACCAGGTATTAAATAAGAGCTAAGCAAATTTGGACTAAGCCACCAATCAATAAATCTCAGCTCTGCAAAAATGGCAAGATTTTAGTAGGTTTTATAAATTGATAAATGACAAGATATTGAGAGCTAGTCATTTTGTTTGCAATTTAAAAGAAGTAGGTATCACTGGGCAACTTGCATTTTGTATAAAGCTGTTCAGTAAATTGAATAACTTAATGTAGGTTTAGATAATCCAAATAATAATGTTGTTAGGAATATTGGACTAGATTTTTCAAGGAACGGCATGCGGTCTGATTGTCCCTCTGGTCCTTTTCTCCCCACAAAAAAAGAGGAGCTCAACTTTTTTGACAGGAGATTTCCCCTGAGTTCCCTCGGGAATGTGGTACTATACTTCCATTCTGACAGCTCTTTTGTAGTATAGAGCTATCGAAGGAAGGTAAACCATTCTTCCCTTTCACGGCAGTCGGGTGGTGGTGGTGGAATCTGGTCCAGTTCAGCAATGTGGAGAGAGAAGGTGGGAGAAGTTGGATCTGGCTGGGTCTGGTAGGCGAAGAGAATGTTGTGTCAGGGTGTGGGACATCTTTTTAGTTTAACTCTTCTTGAGTAACTATTTTATTGAATTTTACTGGACCCATCCAAAGTGTCTGAATCATCAAATTTAAATGAAGACTTTTAGATGGCTCCAAGCATAGTGAAATTGCCCAGTGGAAAATTCAGTTTTGCAGACCATTCCTTCAGATTCTACTATGATGGGGATTCCGCAGGATGAGCAGCTCCTAGATACATTGCAATAATGACTGTCTAGCCAGTAGAAAATCTGGGTCACAAATGTCATAACAGAATTGTTTAAAAAAAAATTTGCCTTAAGGTATGAATTTCCCACGACAAATGCTCATCAATCCATTTCTTTAGCAAATACTGATCGGTCAGAATAAATAAGTTGAATAAGCATTTAGTAATACAATTCATTTGCTTTTGAAGACTTAGGTCTTGAAGCTGAAGAATATTTTACGTGCTCCTAATTGCAAAAATAGGAGTTCAGGAAAACTTTCAGGACACTGGAATCGAATGGGCGGATGGAACTCTCAAATTGCAAGAAATTGTCATTGCTAGGCCTTCACTCTAGAATAATGGTACCATAAAAATTGCCACATAATTTCACTTGTTTCTTTTCCAGCAAAATATAACGTTAGATGCTATTCTTCAGGTAAGAAAACTATTAACTGAAATTTTTGAACCTTTGAAATTTGTTGCTGTTTTCCTGCTATTTGATCCTTTAAATGTTTCCGTAACAATAAACATGTTTATTTTTATATTGCAATGTGAATGTAAAATAAGAAATAAGCTACTGCATGTTGTATGTTCTGTAGTTTAGAAAAAAATTAAGACTCCGCCTCATAAGTATGGTTTGGTCAGAAGACGCGAATCTCTCTGAACAGCTCAGATAGCTTTTATTTAAATGGTAGGAAGAAAACCTGAGCAATTGGAAGCCCAATAACTGACCCCAGGGCAAGACTGCTTGCACCAATGCAGTATTGTTATCTTCCTTTTGTAATTTACACCCTCCTGGGATGCATTGGTAGTTTTCAGTCAGGTATTTATTTAGACATTTTCTGGAGCATTCCTTTAGTGTGGCAAAATGGTGCAGATGTCGACTGCCACTGCTGTTTCCTTGCACTAGATTACTATTCTAGCAGGTGTTTCCTTTCAAATTTGTTTTGAAGTAATTAACTTTAGAATGCTTCATTGCCCACGCTGTGTGAAGAGCCATTGTTTGTTACATCAGAATGCTCTCCTTCATATTGTCATAACCCATGGAAGCAATAACTTTGCATAGTTTACAACGGTCTAAAATAATCGGATTAATTTCAACAACAGTCACTGAAATCTAGGGCTACTGACTTCTTTCTGCCATTTTCTGGCTAGTTTTGACTCCTTTAAGTTGATTCTCACCTACATTTGAGATCCCATTTTTAATATTGTCCACGATGACTTCAAAAGCCAAGTGTTCATCCCTACATGCATGTTTTGTGAACAGTGAGCTGTGGAGTACAGCTTTGTAAAGTAGAATAGTCCAGTAATATTATTGCAAAAATAAAGCACCCTTATAGTGATTTTTAAAATTCCAAAATGGCACACATCTGATATGCTATTGAGGAAATTTGTTCATGCTTTAGAAAAAGCCATTTGCGAATTTTTTGCAAAGTGCCAATAGAAGCCTGTTGTAGCATTTAAAAGGTTAGAAGGTCCACTTGAATCCAAATTGGATTGTATAGGTAAATGCAAAGGCACCTTCTGGATCTTGTATCTGTGAAGGAAATTGACTTTTGATAGCGGGTTGGGGTGTTTAGTATACAAGCCTGGAGCATCAGTGAATGTTGAACAAAAACCTGAAAGAACTGCGAATGCTGGAAATCAGGAATTGCTGGAAAAACTCAGCAGGTCTGGCAGCAAGTATGGAGAGATATCCGAGTTAACGTTTTGGGTCCAGTGACCCTTCGGGACCTGAAAGGTGAGCTCTGATTTCTCTCCACTGATGCTGCCAGACCTGCTGAGTTTCCCAGCAATTTCTGTTTTTGCTTTTCCATCAGTGAATCCCTGATCTCTTTAGGTGAGGGGTGCATGTGACTTAATCACTCACTGGATGGTGCTGCACAGCAGTAATTGAGGTAATAGGTGATGAAGCTGACGGCAGTTTCAGTTAATAGAATGGTTTTGGTTGGACTTCATCAGAGGTCAGACTGAAACTATAATTAGGGACCTTCTCTTAAAGGAAGAGGCATGCTCATGAATAAATCGCTGGTATTTTTTGACATTGCATGTTTTGCATTGCACCCTAAATATTTGCGAACCAGTCACATTCAACTACAACTTGAATCTATTGACTATGTTTAGAAGTCTTATTTTGAGTGGTCCATTACAATTTCTGAGATGCAGTGCGTGAATTAATTGTGAACATGTGTCTAAAATCCCAATCTCGTACCTTGTCAGATCAATTGATTAAAAACTGAAAAATGTTTTACCATTTTGCCTATGTGTTTAGAAAATTTTTGCAGCAAGTGTCCATAATTGTAATAAGTATATGTTGAACTTGGAAAATTTTCAACAAGCAGCCCCTTTGGGATTTAGATTTACATTCTAACTGGCTCAGGTTTCCCCCAAATATTCAAGTGCTTCATTGTCTGAGGAAAGTCCTTGGATGTGCACCAAGTCTCTTCAAAACCACAATATTGATTCCTTCTTATCTCCAAACACTCCAAACATCAAATGTCTATCACAAGCACTGGGAAAAATTTAAATGCTCCTATAAGAGCACTTCACAACTTGATTTTAAACTCGTCCTGTGTCCGTCTTTAGGTAGTTAGAAAAATTTACTCTCCTAAAGACCTCCATTAATTGTCTACCTTCCTATTTGCCTTTGTCTTTTGCATACCACTAAGATGAGTGGCAGAGCAAAGTGTGCAGAAGACTGTGAAACTTTGTAGAGGAACATAGATACATTGAGTGCGTGGGCAAAGGTCTGGCAGATGGAATACAATGTAAATAAATGTGAAGTCATACATTTTGGTAGGAGTAATAGTAAAAAGGATTATTACATGAATGGTTAAAAAGTTGCAGCATGCTGCAATGCAGAGGGACCTGGGTGTCCTTGTGCATGAGTCACAGAAGGTAGGTCTGCAGGTACAACAAGTAATTAGGAAGGCAAATGGAATTTTGTCCTTCATTGCTAAAGGGATTGAAATAAAAAGCAGAGAGGTTATGTTGCAGCTGTACAAGGTGCTGGTGAGGCCACACCTGGAGTACTGTGTGCAGTTTTGGTCTCCTTACTTGAGAAAGGATGTACTGGCACTGGAGGGGGTGCAAAGGAGGTTCACTAGGTTGATTCCGGAGTTGAGGGGGTTGGCTTGTGAGGAGAGACTGAGTAAGTTGGGATTATGTTCATTGGAATTCAGAAGATTGAGGGGGGGATCTTATAGAAACATATAAAATTATGAAGGGAATAGATAAGATAGAAGTAGAGAGGATGTCTCCACTGGCAGGTGAAGCTAAGACAAGAGGGCATAGCCTCAAGATTAGAGGGAGCAGATTTAGGACTGAATTGAGAAGGAATTTCTTCACCCAGGGGGTTGTTAATCTATGGAATTCCTTGCCCAGTGAAGTAGTTGATGCTACTTCAGTAAATGTTTTTAAACAAAAGGTAGATTTTTTTTGAACAATAAAGGAATTAAGGGATACGGTGAGAACGCGGGTAAGTGGATCTGAGTCCACGAAAAGATCAGCCATGATCTTATTGAATGGCGGAGCAGGCTCGAAGGGCCAGACGGCCTACTCCTGCTCCTAGTTCTTATACCTGTTTGTCAGTGTGTGCTGGTCAGTGATTTCAGTGCCTGACCTCTTTGCCTCAATGTGCCTTGCTCTTTCCTGACCTTCAAATTTCTAAGTACTTTGGCCACACTTTCAATTTGGGAGGATGGCATCATAATATGTCATCTTAGTCTAGGTTAATTTATTTTCCCCAATTTCAACCAGTGTTGAGATAGACATGGAAGTGTTGTACTACAACAAAATTAGACTTTCATTTTTCTCACTTTGCATTTGCATTTAATTGCCAGCTACAGTTTGGGTTTTTCAGTCTGGATTAGGAGGCAAGACAACAACTTGAAAATATCGTCCAACAGCAAGATATGGCTTTTACTTTGTAGTCTGTTCAGAAGAGTTTAAAGGAAAGTTGTACCGTCTGTTTTTCCTCCACAGTTTATTGCTTTCAATTACCTTCCTAAGCAGGTCATCCAAATGCTATTTGGATAGAATTGAATTGAATTGCATTGCATTAAATCTCCACAGTACTGACTTAGTACCAATAAGTGTTCCTGCTTTATTCATTGTTTCTCATTGAGACCTCATTAAGACAGTGGTGACATCAGTTCAGCACAACATAACACATGAGCATGTTACGCACTTCAAAATTCTTTTTGAGTAGTTATATAAAATGTATAAAAAATTTATATGCTATTTACAATTAATGTTATACTGTAATTCAAAACACCTTCGCTCGCCATGGATGATATGCATTTAACATTCAACAAGCCAGAACATTTTCAAAATTAAACTTGTTATCTGTAGATTAAAATGTTTATGCAATGAAACATATCTTTAAGTTTAGTTATTTAACTCCTGTTTGAATTACTTGTGGCATTTCTGTATTTGTAGTAATTCTCATCGTGCAATTACTCTTTGAATTTTCCTTTAGTTCACCATTTGCTGATATTGCTTAGTGCTATTTCCCACATGATGTGTTGTTGTCAAGTTGGGTACAACCCCTCCCCCTCCCCCGAAAGAAAATTACATTCTGAAGAAATTTGTTGTCCATTACATACTTTACTCCACACTATCCAATTTTGTTCTCAACGCTGACACTCTGGCGCTGTTCTGAGGGAGTGCTGCAATGTCTTGGGTGCCATCTTTTGCATGGCATGTTAGGTGGAGGCCCCAACTGCCCCCACAAGTAGTTTTTAAAAGATACTACTTTTGAAGAAGGCATTACCCAAATCTCCTGATGAATATTTATCCCTCAATCAACGTCACTTAGTAGATTATCTGGTCATTATCCCAATGTTTTTGAGAAATTGTGCATAAATTACTGTCTTATTTCTCATGTTCCAGGTTTGTATCTTACATTACAGCAGTGATTGCTCTTCAGTAGTGAGATGTCTGGTTGTTGTGAAACGCTGTATATGAGTGCAAGTCTGTTCCTCTCCTGGTTCTTGGGTCATGACTCCTGAGCCATTTAAATGTGTATATATATGATTTAGAATGGTGAATGGTGCGCATGCTATGATGTCAGCAAACACAGCCATCTTTTTTAAAAAGAAAGACATTGATTTATGCAGTGTCGTCATGATTTAAAGTCCCAAAGCACTTTACAGTCAATGAAGCACTTCTAAAGTATAGTCACTGTAATGCAGCAGCCTTATTGGCGCACAGCAAGATTCCACAAGTAACAGTGTGTTGATGATCAGGTAATCTATTTTTAGTGGTATTGGTTGAGGCACAACTATTGATCAGGTTACTGAGTTCAATGCTCATAAACAGAACTGTGGGATTTTCTATGTCTTGCAAGAGGTAGATAGGGCCATGGTTTAACATCATCAGAGTGGGGCTTAAACTCATGACTTTCTGACTCCTTTGAGTTCAACGTGTATTAAGTCCAGCTCTTAAAAGTGCAGAAACAATCAGAATTTATAAAATGTTGATTTTCGAATACTGGGCAAGATAAACAAGTTTGCTTTATTTTTCTCAATGCTTTATAATTGCAGAATGCAACTAATGAAAATCCAGTCATTCAACTCAGTGCTGTTCAGGCTGCAAGGTGAGGCGATTGGATGGCTTTGTTATTAACAACTGAATATACTAGGACTAAATGATTACATTGAGATGGTACTTGTGTTGGTTCAATACTGTTTTACACTAGTTCTTAGTTACTTTGTAATTTTGTAATGACATCTTGATCACAAAGAGTTCTTACTTGAAAAAATTCTTGAAGAAGGAGAGATTTAGTTCGAATAGAGAGGGAGAGTGTTCTGGAGCATAAGACCTGGGCAGCTGAAAATGTGTGTCATGGGTGTGGTGAAAGGAGTGGGTGATAGAGACAAGATCAGATTTGGAGGAATGCAGAGTGCTTGAAGTATATTAGAGTTTGAAAAAGTTAGAGAAGAGTGGGAGGAAGCCATAAAGAGATTTAAACACAGGTATAATAATATTGAATTGGAGGTGTCAAAGGACCAGCAGCCAGAGTCGACTAGTGAGCACATGAATGACATGCGAGCAGGATTGGATGTGAGCAGCAGAACCTTGGATGAGCAAGTCGTGGCAAGTGGAGGAATGGAGACCAGCTAACAGAGTGGAATCTGGTTTTAACAAAGGTAGGGATGAGTTTTTTGACTGATGGGCAAAGATGGATGATAAGATGGTAAACGTGTCAATGCTTTGGGTTGGTAGGATATTGACTCAAGGTCGGCGAGGTGAAATTGGAGGCTGAGGTTGCAAACAGTCTGGTAAAGCTGAGAGAATGACCTGGGTGAGATGCTTTAGGTGACAATGGTGCAATATTTGTTTTGAGAGTTAAATTTGGCTTCATTCTTCTTAATGATCAATCTTTCTTCATTAGAAATTCCATGGACTCAAATTTGTGGTTCTAATTTCTCGTTATATTCTCCTGCTAACATTTGACAAATAAAAATCTAGAATAGAAAATCTATATACTAAATTGTTTATGATGGTTTGTAATTGCACAATGACTGGTGGATGGCTCAGCGAAACAGGTTTCTCAAGTCTCTGCACTTGGTATGCACATCTTAACTTATTTGAAAATGTTATCTTCTAAATAAATTATCAAGTTTTGTTTTGTAGACAGAGAACTATAGGTTTGGTGGCAATGTCTTTACTATTTATCCTACCAACAACTATTTCTAGTCAAAGGTATTTTTCTGTAAGTTAATTAATCTCAAATTGTAGAACTGTTTTCTCACTTTTAATTGTAATTGTAAAAATCACAATATGGTGTTGTCTATTGTACTGCATAATAGAGAAAAAATAAGGTAAAACATCCAATCCATCAAGCTGAATAATTGATTGTATGTCATGTAACATCAAATTGTAAAGTCTGGAATGCTTGCTGACCCCAACCCCTCTGTTGTGATTGATGTAGTCACTTTGAAAACCTGCAACTCATTGTTGTATGGATGGTGTTAAACAGTAATTGCGACATTATTACTCACAAAGAAAAGGAGGCCACATAACTAATGAATAGGGTTTTAAATAAAATGACTAGTTGTTGAACATTAAGCAACTTATCGTCCATTGCTATCATATAAATTATAGAATTGCATTTACTAATGTAGCGTGTGGGTAAGTTTATTTAAAATAAATTTTTTGCAAAATTATTTTTCCATCTGCTAACAGACGCAGTGGTGGTTTTCTTAATCAATGCATTGTGTTGCCAAGATTGATGTCACTCACAATGACCAAATTTTTATTTGTTGCGCATGTTGTTAAGGGTGTTAAAACATTTAGCTACTTTTTTCCTCAAAATCTTGCAGGAAGTTGCTGTCAAGTGATAGAAATCCTCCAATTGATGAATTAATAAATTCTGGAATCTTGCCTGTGCTGGTACGATGTTTGGAGAGGGATGACAAGTAAGTGTCATGATGTAGTCGTCATCTTTGTTTACTTTTCATGAATGCTTATGAATTGCAAAAGACATTGAAAGCATCATGTTTTGTTGAATTTTTGTATTGTCTGTTGGTTTTTTATGCTTTGCCTATTGAGAATAAGATTCTAAACATGCTACAGTCAGACTAATTTCTATTCCTGCAAGAATTAAACTTTGCCCTGCATATTCTTGCTGTTCATTAACAAAATTTAACTTCATTCTGATCTAGAATTTGATTTGACTCTTGAAAATGTTTGAGTATTTATCTTGACTAACTGCAGGACCAGTTATTTGCGTTTGCATTTTGAGGTGTCTCTACCTCTTCGTATTTTGTCCGTTTGCCCTCTTGGTTAAAAAAATCGTTCACTGGTGAGACAAATTGCCAGGATGGTTAATTTCTATACTATCGGCACTGTTGACTTGGTTGCAAAAAGCTGCAGGAAAGCAGTGGGTTAGGTGCCCTTTAACCTTCTCACTCAACTATAGGGTACAAATTTATTCTGGGACCCTATTGCAAGGCTGTAATATGTGAGCCATCATTGCAGTTCAACAGATGTGTGCCTTTTAATGAAATCCTGTGCGCAGCATAGTGGCTCCCTCACAACTCCAGGGAACCGGGTTTGATTCCAGCCTTGGGTGAGTGTCTGTCTGGAGTTTGCATGTTCTCCTGGTATCTGCATGAGTTTCCACCAGCTGTTGCAGATTCCTCCCACAGTCCAAAAATGTGCCGGTTAGTTGGATTGGCCATGGTTAACATGGGGTTACGGAGATAGGGTGGGATCTGGGTGAGTTGCTCTGCGGAGGGTCAATGCAGATTTGATGGGCCAAATGGCCTGTTTCTGCACAGTAGGGATTCTATGAAAGGGTGTGCTGTAACAACATTCGTTAGAGCAAGCTAATCCGTTTCTCTGCTTCTCGATGGTCTTAATTTGTTTAAAAGTTTGAGATTCTGGTCCTCAAATACTCTATCCCCAACCTGAAGGCTGAGTAGACAAGTTGGAGACAGTGATGACTTCCGCCATCCTGTGGTCTGTCTTCGTTGAAAAGAGGCTCCCAAAAGATGAAAAATGATCCACGTTTTCTAGGTTGCCAACCCCTCCATTAATTCCCCCTCCATCCTGGGCCGCCTCCAGTGGGGCAGGAGCAGGCAGAGACAATGGGTAAACCACGGTTAAAGGGTAATGGGGAGCAGGCAGGAAAGCTGAGATGAGATCAGCCGTAATCATATTTAAATAGTGGAGCAGGGATCGAAGGGCTGAAGTGCCTCCTGCGCCAAGTTCTTATGTTCTTACTTGCTAGCCTTCCACCAATCAAATAAGACCATTGGTAGGATTTGAAAACCGAGCTGACAAAGTAGTGGATAACATTTTAAAAGGATTTGTGTGCCTTTCATTTGAAAGTAAATATTTTCAACAAGATACACATCATGTGACGTTTACAACAGTAGGAAGGAGATAAAATGAAAGTTAAGCATATCTGGCACTGCATAATAACCTAGTGTAAGTTTTATTACTTAGTGGAGTTATGAAATTTTGATGCAGTGAAAATATTAAAGCCCCTTAAATTATGTTCTTTGGAATTTGATCTATTGCACTAGAATGATGTGTGATTATTAATGTTACAGTCCATCTCTTCAGTTTGAAGCTGCCTGGGCGTTGACTAATATAGCATCTGGGACATCTGCACAAACTCAAGCAGTGGTTGAAGCAAGTAAGTGACAAAATCAGTGGTGATATTAATCCAGTAGTAATTTGTAAGCTGTTTGTGTTGGTTATGTTCATCGCTGCACTTAAGTAAATTTGTTTGCAGCTACAATATTGGGACGGCACGGTGGCTCAGTGTTTAGCACGGCTGCCTCACAGCGTCAGGGATCCGGGTTCGATTCCAGCCTCGGGCGACTGTCTGTGTGGAGTTTGCACATTCTCCCCGTGTCTGCTTGGGTTTCTTCCGGGTGCTCCGGTTTCCTCCTACAGTCCAAAGATGTGCAGGTTAGGTGGATTGGCCGTGCTAAATTGCCCATAGTGTCCAGGGAGGTGTAGATTAGGTGGGTTATAGGGGGATGGGTCTGGGTGGGATGCTCTGAGGTGTGGTGTGGATTTGTTGGGCCAAAAGGCCTGTTTCCACACTGTAGGGATTCTATGAATATGCAGGAAAAATGATGTCATTTAGTATTAAATGTAAAATCTTCTTTCTACACAGTGACAGTGCTCAGCAGTACCTGGAACAGGATGTTTGCTATAAAATAATTTCAAAAATAGCTGTCAATACAGTATTACCTTGTCAGCTTTAAAATGTGTGAATGCTCAATGACTGCCAAGAGGCCTGTCCTCAGATATAAATTCAGTGCAGGTGTCTTAGAAATAATTAGGTTTTCCATTAGTAATAAATCTGAAAAGATATTTTAGTACAAATATAAATTTCAGTTCTGTTGTGCAGGCTTCCATGCCAAATATTCCAGCATTTTGGTTCCTTTTGTCAAGGAGGCAATGTAGAAATCAAAGCTTGCAAAATTGTTTTATTGAATTTTTGGATGTTTCAGCGGCTGTAATGTGAGCCTCTAAATTCCAACTCACATAGTGTTTACAGCACTGAGACAACCTTAATCAAACTCACTGAAGGTTTTCTAGCCACAACAAATTGTACAATTACTCCTTGACCCTCTCCATATCTGAGCGGCGATCAACCTGACATACATTTATGTCCTCCTCCTCCACTGTCTCCCATTTTAAATGTATCTTCAAAGGTATTCCTTTTACTGCTTCTATTCCGCCATATCTCATTAGAACCAGTAAGTATTTCTTCTTAGTACCTTGTATGATAAAGTTCAAATCTACATTTCACTCTTTCCCTTTGCTTTTTTTATCTCTAGCACCTTGCAGACCAGATCCACTGACATGGGCGAATTTGCACCTGTACACCAACAACACCCTAATATACCTGCCACCAGTGCCCTCTGTTCCAAAACTACCTCTATTGTCAGCCTTCCTAACCGATTTATAAATGAGCCTCTATTTGAACATTGGGATGATTGAAGAACAAGATGTTAGATTACCACTTGAGTCAGGGATAAACGCCCCCACAAATTGGTTGGGCCAAACTCATTGTGTCAGTAGTCTACATAATTTCATCCACCCGTCATCAATACTGCCTTCCCCTCTGATCTCCTGTCTTTATTTATTCATGGGATGTGGGCATCGTTGGCTGGGTTGGCATTTATTGCCCATTCTTAATTGCCCTTGAAAAGGTGGTGAATGATCTTCTTGAACTGCTGCAGTCCATGTGTTGCAGGTAGACCCATAATGCCATTAGGGAGGGAGTTCCAGAATTTAGACCCGATACATTGAAGAAATTATGATATATTGTCAAATCAGGATGGTGAGTGACTTGGAGGGGAACTTGCAGGTGGTGTTGTTCCCATGTTCCTTCTTGATGGATTTGGTAGATCCTGTTGAAGAAATCTTGGTGAATTTCTACAGTGCATCTTGTAGATGGTACACACCACAGTCACTGAGCATCTGTAATGAAGGCTGTAGATGTGGTGCCAATCAAGCAGGCTGCTTTGTCCTGGATGGTGTCAAGCTTCTTGAGTTTTGTTGGAGCTTTTTTTAAAATCGTTCACAGGTTGGTGGCATCGCTTGCCGGGCCAGCATTTATTGCCCTTCCCTAATTATCCAGAGGGCAGTTTTGAATCAACCACATTGCTGTGGGTCTGGAATCACATGAAGGCCAAACCAGGTAAAGATAGTAGTTTCCTTCCTTAAAGGACCTTCCTTAGAGAACCAGCTGCACCTATTCAGGCAGATGGAGAGTGTACCATCACACTTCCGTGCTTTGTAAATGGTCGACAAGCTTTGGTGAGTGAGGTGGTGAGTTCCTCACTGCAGGATTCCTAGCCTCTGACCTGCTGTTGAAGCCTCTGTAGTTATACGGCTAGTTTGGTTTCTGACTAATGGTAGCCCCAGGATGTTGATAGTGAGAGGTTCAATGATGGTAATGGTCATTGAATGTCCAGGGGCCAGTGGGGTGCATCTTTGGGTATTAAAAGGCATGGCCTCAAAGATAGCGGATGCACTGGTAGTAATGTTCCAGTCATCCTTCGATTCTGGAGAAGTATCAAAGGATTGGAAGCCTGTCAATGTAACATCTTTATCTTTTAAAAAAGGATTAAAAATCGCAGGTCAAGCTTAGTTGTGGGTCACATTGAATATCCAAGTTCCATAGACTCTGACTTAACTGAAGAGCTTAACAGCAGAGGCAAAGTATGTTAATTTTATCGGTATACAATCAAAGGAGTTTTTAGCTTCTCTGTGAAATGATAGCTGGCAATGTAGAGGGTTGAGACAAGTTATAGAGAACTATTCTGTATCCATTCAGTCTCTGTAAATGGAGAGGCGGTACTGCTGAAAGCCTTTTGAGTTGTCTGCAATTTTTTACTGCCTTCAATTTGGCAAAGCCCACTTTTCCACTTGTGAGGTTGTCGTAAGCCCTAAGCAATGTATTCATTTCAGTAAGTTATTGGAGAAAATTGGCTTGAACTAGATGTAGATAACACAGTGTGAAGCTGGAGGAACACAGCAGGCCAGGCAGCATCAGAGGAGCAGGAAAGCTGACGTTTCGGGTCGGGACTCTTCTTAGAAAAGACAAGTTGTAGTCTAAGATATCCAATGTTATTTTGGATGTAGTTCTTTGATTGTTATCTTGATTAGAGTAGTGCTAATGTTTTATGTTTGGTTCCAGATGCTGTACCTCTGTTTCTGCGATTACTCCACTCCCCTCATCAGAATGTTTGTGAGCAAGCAGTCTGGGCTCTAGGAAACATCATAGGTTTGTATTTTCATAAAGTCTTTTGTACACTGTTAAAAGCACATGGGAATCCTGGCTTTATAAGTCGAGACGTAGAATTCAAAAGCAAAGTGCTTATGCTGAATTTTTTAAATTACCAGTGAGGTCTTAACTGTGTCCACTTCCAGGCACCACACTTTAGGAAGTTTGCTTCGGCTTTGGAGACGGTGCAAAAGAGATACGTTAGATTTTCTTTTACTCACTGGATGGTGGCATTGATGGAGGCCAGCCTTTATTTTCCATTCCCATTTGTCATTGAGAAAGTATTGGTTAGCCACCACCTTGAACTACTTTTGTCCATGTAGTGGAGGTACATCCATTGAGAGTTCCACGTTTTAACTTCGTGATGATGGAATGAGGATGCATTTGAGCTAGGAAGGCACATGACTTGGCAGGACATTTGAAGGTAGTGATGTCCCATATGCTTGCTACTCTTTTCCTTCTTGACAACAGTAGTCACAGGTTTTAGGTGGTATTGTCATGGATCAGTCACAGGGCTTTGGTGGTGGAGGAAGTGAATACTTAAGGTCGGGATGTGATGCTATTGAAATGGGCTGCTTTGTCCAGGATGATGTCAAGCTTCTTGAGTGTTATTGGAGCTGTTCTTAAAAGGGCATGCAGAGAGCATTCCATCACACTCCTGACTTGCCTGGTAGATGGTGTTACGGCCTTTGCAAATAAATAAAATGGTGACTGACTCACCATGTAATTTTCAACCTATTACAGTATTTGTGGCTGGCCCAATTAAGTTTGTAGTCAGTAAAACCCCCAGTGTGTTCATGGTGAGAGTTCTGTGATAATGGTGGTTAATTCACTTTTTGCTGGAGATAGTCATTGCCTGACACTTGTATGGTGCTAATTTTACCTAACAGCCCAAGCCTGATTGATGTCCCAGTCTTGATCCATGCGTTTCAGGATTACTACATCATCTGAAGAGTTGAAAATGGATACTTCAATTACCAGTCAATTATCAATCTAGTCTTATGATTGAGGGAAGGTTAGTTATAAAACAGCTGAAGCTGGCTGGGCTGAGGACACTGACCTGAAGAGTTTCCTGCAGCAATATCCAATAATTGAAATGATGACCTCCAAAAATCTCAAATATCATCTGCCTAGATATGGATTCAATTTTACAAAAGCTACTTGATGCCACATTCTCTAAGATGTTGTAACATTCACCTCACTTCTGACATTCAGTGCTTTGGTTCATGTTTGGGCCAAGTTCATCATGAGTGCCCCTGATGGATGCATTGAGCATTGATGAGAAGAATATTGGTCATTGAGTGCCACTGTCAAGACCAAGTTCCATCACTTTGTTGAGAGTGGATTGATGCCAGGTATGAGAGACTTAAGTTATGTAGCGAGAAATGCCATAATTGTTTTCAGAGAACTGGATGTTCAGAGATTTAATTGCATTTGCTGAAACTTGAGTTTTTTTTTGTTGACATAACAAGTAGAAACTGTTTCCACTGGCAGGAGCATCAGTAACCAGAGGACATAGATTTAAGGTAATTGGCAAAGGCTTCAAGGGGAGATGAGCTGATCTAGAATGAGTTTTATGACCTGGAATTCAGTGTCTAAAAAGGTGGAAGGAGCAGATTCAATTATCTCTTTCAAAAGAGAATTGTAACTAACAATGTGATCTTTGAGACCAATACAGGTAGTAATGTGGGACTTAGTGGATAGCTCTTTCAAGGATCCTGAACAGGCACAGTGAAGTGAATGGGGTTCATTGCCGTATGATATAATACAGAGTTCTAAATTAAGAATTGTATTGTTCAACCATTTAAACAAACCACCAAAATAACATGTATATTTTTGCTTTGAATTGTTTTATTGAGTTTATGCATTAACATTTTCATCTAACTGCTGTATATGCATCAGCTACAACATTTTCTTTCATAAAGCTTTTCAGGTTCTCATCTCTAATGCAAACATTTTCATTTTCACTTCTTTAGGTGATGGTCCTCGTTGTAGAGACTACGTCATCTCATTGGGAGTTGTCAAACCTCTTCTGTCCTTCATCAATCCCTCCATCCCCATCACTTTCCTTCGAAACGTCACATGGGTCATAGTTAACCTCTGCAGGAATAAGGATCCACCACCACCAATGGAAACAGTTCAGGAGGTAAAGAAATTTGACAAATGTTGTTTGGTTTTTATAAGTGAAAATAACTCAAGCTGTTGGCTGGATCAGGGAGATTTTCAAATAGGCTGGATAAATTTGATTGTGATGGGTCTATATATGTGATATATGCACATATGTAGAGGGTGAAAACATTTGAAATGATTTGCCCATAGTAATTAGGAATGTTAAGATGGTTCAAGTGTCACAAACTGACTGTTTATTGTGATCACGCCATACACCTGTTCAGTAAAGGCACATGCCAGTTTGACAATAGTAAATATGAAGGCTACTTACTACTATATTCCATACAAATAGAAATTTTTATATGGAAACGTAGGTGTATTCAATACTTCTGGAACTGTTAGAGCTATTGGCTGTCTTCTGTGTAGAGTGGTCTACCATCATGAAGCCTTGGTAGATTTGGAATTGCATTTTATTGTGAAGGAAATGACAACATGAAGTGGTAAATTTAAAGGAGTAAATTATAAATAGGCTGAGGGGTGACTGGTTCAAATATTTTAGAACTTGCATTCATATGGCACCTTTAATGACCATGGGACATTTTAAAACACTTTGCAATACTTTGAAAAAATTGCAGTGGAGGATTGACAACCACCATTTTGTGCATAGCAAGGTCTCTCAAACAATAATGAGATAAGTGAACAGATCATCTGTTTCTACTAGTGCTGGTTAATAGCTAAATGTTTGTAGGAATGTTGATTACATCTATATGTTGTTGGAATTAATAGCTACACAAATAAGGTTCACAATAAATATCAAATTCCTTGATTTTAAATCAAGCAGCCATTATTGTAAATCTCTGATTTTGAAATTGACTTCTCATTTTAGTCTTTCGTTTTAAAAAGCACAAAAATAATAGACACAATCTTTACACACTACAAACATGAAAAAATAAATGTCTTTCCTTTATTCCAGCAATGCCATAATGGATACTCAAACTTCAGTGAAAAGTCACACCAATTCTATTCAAAACCTTCTTGCTTAGCTTGAAATTGCTGCTTATTCACCAGGTGCTACTTTCTTCAGCTCATGTCTCTCTCTGAGACACTTAAAACAAGCTGCTAACTCTGCTCACTATTATTTAACATGGGTTCCCTAAACGAATATCTTCAAAAGCCTTGTAGGTTGTTTCTCTTTGTGACACACCCACAGTATTCTGCTTCTGGACATTCCTTCTCACTGAGTTCAAAGCATCTAAATACTTGTCAGCCCTGATTGGTTGGAGACTGCTGATAACAGCACTCTTCTGTTATGGGCCTCCTGTCCTCATCATGATTCTTCTATCACCTCCCTCTCTCATCCCCCACTCACTCTTGATCGCGTGCTGTCTCTCTTGCGCTCTCCGTCTCTCCCTCTCTCTCTCTCTCTTTCTCCCTGTGTCCAAAAATGAGACTGGTTCACAGGACTGAAAAGCTAAAAAAAAGTCTATTTTGTCTCCAATTTAGAATGCAAATATGCATAATAATATAGCAACCATCATAATAGTCACTAGACTACATCTCCTGGTACATCAGCTTCTCAAAATCTGCCTCTTTCACCAGGCTTTTGGTTATTGTTTTGAAGTTTTCTTTTCTTGCCCTGGTGCCCATTTGTGTTTCATTGCATCTCTGTGGGACTTGTATGCAGGCATTATATTTGACTTCCTCCCAGAACTCATTATTTTGTTTTTCTTCCCTTTCCATGTTTATTGTTGAAGTTTGAAATGGTACTGTTCAATGATAAGGTCACTTTGCTGATGCCAAAGTTCTGCACACGTGTATAATATTAATTCGGTTATTGACCATTGAAAAAAAGTTTTACTTTGTTTTGCGCTCATTATTTTAGTGGTCTTTTAACCACAATATACTGGTTTATTAAAATATTATTTTCAATTTACTTTTTCAAATCTAAAGCACGACTGATTATTTCCAATCGTGCATGAATATATTCGTGAGCCCTATATTAAACTGATCTTTGAAATATAAAATAAATTATCATTAATTGGTATTTATACCTTCATTCATAAGAGATATCATTGAAAATGTGCATGCTGCTTGGTATCAGCGAGTGGAGCCATAGTAATATGTCTGTATAATGAGTAAAAACTGCCCAATTGTACAAGTACTATTGAATTGGTTATAAATACTTGTTAGTGCATTGGATCCGGTTTAGTTTGTGCTGTTCCATTATTGAATTGCGAATTTAATCACTGAATAAATTATTCAATTTTTCCCTCCACAGATCCTACCAGCACTCTGCGTGTTGATATACCATACAGATATTAATGTAAGTAGTGTACTAACTCCTGGCAAAGAAGATGTGCAACCTCCATGTTTTCAGAATAGCTGATTTTTTTTTTGAAAGATGGAAAGAGTGTTCGTACTGAGGCCAACATTTGTTGCCTATCATTAATTTCCCTTGATAGTGTTTCAGGTGCAGGGGGATTTTCATGGCCGTTTGGGACATTTTAGCCAACAATAAAGCACAGTGTAATACTTCTCTTTCCTTTTGGAAGAATGTTGATCTACTTAGATTTTAATTATTCAAATGTTAAATGGATTTTTAAAGTGGATTATATTCCAAGAGTTGACTTATTTTGCATAGCCTTTTTTTTTTAAACTTTTTTAAATTTGATGTGAGTTGGCTTCCTTCAATGCATGTAAATTTTCCTGGTCTTGCGTAGTACTACAATCTTTAATGCAGAATGATTGTCTATAAATCTATACATGTGAGTAGTTAATAACTGCACGGCTTCACTCTCACTAAGAATTTCTGAGAGACTAATAACCAATTCTCATGCTGTTAAAACAAGTTCAATCATAATACAAGCCCAATATAGTGCATAGGTTTATACAGGTATAGATTGAGGTATAGACAGGGTGGATAGCAAGAAGCTTTTTCCCAGAGTGGGGGACTCAATTACTAGGGGTCACGGTTTCAAGGTGAGAGGGGAAAAGTTTGAGGGAGATATGCGTGGAAAGTTCTTTATGCAGAGGGTGGTGGGTGCCTACAATGTGTTGCCAGCAGAGGTGGTAGAGGCGGGCATGATAGCGTCATTTAAGATGTATCTAGACAGATACATGAATGGACAGGGAGCAGAGGGATACAGATCCTTGGAAAATAGGTGACAGGTTTAGATAGAGGATCTGGATCGGCATAGGCTTGGAGGGCCGAAGGGCCTGTTCCTGTGCTGTAATTTTCTTTGTTCTTAATATTTAATTTTTTAATGAGTCAATAGTTTATTTTCAAGCTAGAAATATCTGTTGGCCTGTTTTTATGTATCAGTTATGACAGTGTAACTGTGCTGAACGTAATTGTTCTTCTGAAGCTGTCAGCAACTTCTGACAGTGCACACATGATTAAACTCAAATCAAAAAGTTGTTGTCAGTGTATTTGTCCTACCTGATGCACTGTTGAAGTTCTTGGAGACTGCACCCAATTAGAAATTATTGAATTGACCAGAGCTTGCCCTTTCTGCATTTAGACTGTCTGTAAGGACCCCTGATTAAGTTGTCATTTTTTGAATGTGGTAAAGCTAGCTTTTTAAAAGTTCTTTAACGTATTAATAACTTGAAGCAAACCCTCTGGCTACAAAAGGAGAATTTATGTTTGTGGAATATCAAATTTCTTATAATGGTGCAAAAATTCAACATTTTTCATGTTTTATATGACTTTTTCCTAAAAAAACAGACTTTGTCAAATCTTTTCATCTTCTTTTAATTGGGACAATTCACAAGAAATTCATTCAAAGGTAAAAACATTCATTTGGTATAAGGGGGAAGTGCTGATTAGTTATAAACAAAGTTTGGCGATTAACTGTCAGTCATCATTAAATGCTGCATTCTTCATGGCAACATCTCTACTATTCAGGGTACACTTGTCAACCAGTCAGCACTCTTCACTTGTATGGTAAAACTGCCTTTTTCCCTTTACTTTGGTATTTCTTGCAAATTGTCCTGATGAGACTAAGATGAAAACCTGGAACAAAATGTCGTCTTTTCAGCAATTCTCAAATTCTTTATTGCCAGACGACTCTTATAAATGTTTTGATATTTCAGCTTTGACCTTAGTCACATTTGTGTGACTCAGCCATTTATTTTGCGTTCTCTAAAATAATTAAAAAAGGATAATCAGTATATTTTACTTGCTCCTTTGTTTTCTGTGCGCATATTTCAGTCTTATTGTTTGCTTACTCTGCTTGATGATATCACTGTTAGATGCCTGGATATTCTCTGAAGTTTGCTTGACATTAAGTCTGATGTCAGTAAAAGAGCTAATGCAACCCATAGAGATCTCTAGATCTTTGTGGGCAGCTTTCTTCAAGCTTGGCAAGTGTTGATAGAAATCCTGGAAGTTCTTTGTCATTGGTAAAAGGTCAATGTTAGTCACTGTCCTAAAAACCTTTTTGATCTATCCACAGAAGTGGAGGTATTTTGGTCTTTTCTCCTCTGCTTCATGTTGGTTCCTGAAATTACTGTCATCAAAAAGATAGGCTGAAAACTGCCAGCATCATCTTATAACATGTTGCAAGTTAGATAAATTTTCAAGTGGCAGGCTGTAAATGTAAATTTGTTGTCATGTTTATTTTTAACAGTAACAGAGGTTGTAAACCAATTGGTGTTTCATTGTACTGTGTTATAGCATGATTATGTAGTTTTTCCTTCATGGAAATAAACCAGTACAGACCTTGGACCAAGTGATTCATGTTGCACACTCTTCTCACTTTGCTTCATCTCACCCCATCAACATCAGTTATCTTTTTCTCCCTTGAGTGCAACAGTGTGCATCAGCTCTGTGTGAGCGAGTACCACATTCTAACTTCTTTCTAATTTTCATTTCAAAATATTCAAGATACTCGTGGACACAGTGTGGGCTTTGTCTTATCTGACAGATGGAGGTAATGAGCAAATACAGATGGTGATTGATTCAGGTGTGGTGCCTTTCCTTGTTCCACTGCTCAGTCATCAAGAAGTCAAGGTTCAGGTGAGAAAAGTATTTTTTATACCAAACCTATGGTGTCTAGAATATCTTGACAAGATTTTGATCTTAAGGCTAAAATTGGATGCAAAATAAAGCCATTTTGAGCTATGGGGAAAGGGAAAGGTAAAACGACAGGAAGTATTATGGCAAATAGAAAAGAAAGCAGCAGGTTAACATGTTCAGGAGGGTTTAACTACATCGAAAACTATGAAAGAAGTTAAAAGGAAGGAAGACTCAGGAGATATTATTAATGGAGATGTTAGAATTCAAAAAATATGGTATTAAAACTAGCATCAAAGCACTTTACCTGAACGCTTGTAGCATTGAAAACGAGGTAGATAGTTAATGGCACAAATCATCGCGAATGAGTATGATTTAGTAGCCATTACAGAGACATGGTTGCAGGATGGTCACAACTGGGAATTAAATATCTAAGGGTATCAGACTATTCAGAAGGACAGACAGGAAGGTAAGGGGGCCGGGGTGGGGGGGTTGATGTAGCTATGATATTTAAGGATGGCATCAGGCCTGTGGTGAGAGATGATATAGGTTCTATGGAGAATAAGGTTGAATCCATTTGGGTGGAAATTAGAAATTCTAAGAAGAAAAAGTCACTGATAGGCGTAGTCTGTAGGCCACCAAATAGTAACGTCACATTGTGGCAGGCAGTAAACGAAGATAACAATGACCATGTGGGATTTTAATCTGTATGTCGATTGGCTGAACCAGGTCGGCTAAGGCAGTCTTGAGGAGTTGTTCATTCAGTGTATCTGCAGTAGTTTTCTTGAACAGTGTATAATGGAACAGATGAGGGAGCAAGCTTTCCTAGATCTGGTTATGTATAATGAGACAGGAATGATTATGATCTCATAGTTAGAGATCCTCTTGGAAGGAGCAATCACAGTAAGGTTGAATTTAGATTACAAATAGAAAGTGAGAAGATAAAATCCAATACCGGAGTCCTGTGCTTAAACAAAGGAGACTACAATAGGATGAGGGAGGAGTTGGCTAAAGTAGACTGGAAGCAAAGACTTTATGGTGGGACAATGGTGGACTTTCAAATCAATTTTTCAAAGTGCTCAGCGAAAGTATATATCAGTGAAAAGGAAGAATTATAGAAAAAGTAGTAATCAGCTGTGGATGTCTAAGCAAACAAAGGAGGCTATCAAATTGAAAGATAAGGCATACAAAGTGGCAAAGACCAGTGGGAAGCTAGAAGATCGGGAACACTATAAAGGCCAACAGAAAGCCACAAAAAAACTAAAGAAAAGTAAGATAGATTATGAATGTAAACCAGCTGAGAACATAAGGTCAGATAGCAAAAGTTTCTCCAAATATATAAAACAAAAGAGTGGCTAAGGTAAACATTGGTCCTTTAGAGGATGAGAAGGGGAATGTAATAATGGGAAATGAGGAAATAGCCATGGCATTGAACAGGTATTTTGTGTCAGTCTTCACAGTGGAGGGCAAGAATAACATGCCAGTATTTAATGACAAAGAGATTAATGTAGGTGAGGACTGAGAAACAATCATTATCACGAAAGAGGTAGTGTTGGGCAAGCTAATGGAGCGAAAGGTAGACAAGTCTGCTGGCCCTGATGGAATGCATCGCAGTGTACTAAAAGAGATGGCGGGAGAAACAGCAAATGCGTTCATGGTAGTTTTCCGAAATTCGCTGGACTCTGGCGCAGTTGCAGCAGATTGGAAAACAGTAAATGTAACGCCGTTGTTTAAAGAAGGAGATAGGCAGAAGTTGGAGAATTATAGGCTGGTTAGCTTAACTTCAATGGTTGGGGAAATGTTTGAATCTGTCATCAAGGAAGAAATAGCAAGACATCTTGCAAGAAATAGCAAGATAGAAATTGTCCCATTGGACACACACAGCATGAGTTCATGACGGGCAGGTCATGTTTAACTAATTTAATGGATTTCTATGAAGACATTGCGAGCATGATGGACAATGGAGACCCAGTAGATGTGTATCTAGATTTCCAAAGGCATTCGAAAAGGTTGTGCACAAAATGCTGCTACATAAGATAAAGGTACACAGCCTTATGGACAATGTATTAGCCTGACTAGAGGATTGGTTAACTAACAGGCAGCAAAAAGTGGGGACAAATGAGTACTTTTCTGGTTGGTGATCAGTGACTATTGGTGTGCCTTGGGGATCAGTGTTGGGACTGGAATTGTTTACAATTTACATAGATGATTTCGAGTTGGGGACCACGTTTGGTGTGACAAAGTTTGCAGATGGCACTAAGATGGACTGTAAAGCAAAATGTGCAAAGGACTCAAAGTTTGCAGAGGAATATAGATAGTTTTAAGTGAGTGGTCAAGGGCTGGCAGATGGAGTAAAATGTTAATAAATGTGAAGTCATCTGTTTTGGTAGGAATAACAGTAAAAAGGACTATTATTTGAATGGTAAAAAATTGCAGCATACTACTCTGCAGAGGGAGCTGGGTGTCCTTGTGCATGAATCGCAGAAGGTTGGTTTGGACGTGCAACAGATAGTTAAGAAAACAAATTTTGTCCTTCATTGTGGCAGGGATGGAGTTTAAAGGGAGGTTATGTTACAGCTGTATAGGGTACTGGTGAGTTTTGGTCTCCTTACTCAAGAACGGATGTACCGGCACTGGAGGGGATGCAGAGGTGGTTCATTGGGTTCATTCTGGAGTTGAGAGAGTTGGCTTATGAGAAGAGACGGAGTAGACTGGGACAATACTCATTGGAATTCAGAAGAATGAGGGGGGATCTTAGAGAAATAGAAAATTATGGAGGGGATAGGTAAGATAGAAACAGGGAGGATCTTTCCACTGGTGGGTGAAACTAGAACAAGAGGGCATAACCTCAAAATTAGGGGGAGCAGATTTAGGACTGAATTGAGGAGGAACTTCTTCACCCAAAGGATTGTGAATCAGTGGAATTTCTTTCCAAGTGAAGTAGTTGAGGCTTATTGAATGTCTTTAAAGCTAAGATAAATAATTTTTTGAACGTTAAAGGAATTAAGAGTTATAATGAGAGGGTGGGTAAGTGGCGCTGAGGCCACAAAAAGATCAGCCATGATCTTATTGAATAGCGGAGCGGGCTCGATGGCCAGATGGCCTACTCTTGCTCCTGGTTCTTACGTTCTTATGTTTGTTTCATTCCTGATCCCAGCTTTAATGTTTGAGCTAAGTCGCAAAAATTGTTATATTTGAAAAAGAGTTTATATTTGAAAAAACATCATGTAGAAAATACAAGTAAATCTTATTCTTTGTTGAAAAAGTAAATGCTGACCTAAAATATTTTGTAAATTGTATATTTTCTCAATTTACATATGTAAGCAAATTTGATTTCGTTACACCATTTTTATTCTACAGTCTAGTGCATGTTTTTTTTACAGGGGCAGATTTCGCTTTACTCTTGAGGCTTGATGTCTTGTAATTTGTTATAAACAGATTGAGATTTAAAACAAATCTCTCTGCCTATGCACACCAACTAACTATAAGCAAATTGTGATTGTGTTTCTCTGTTAAGTAGTGGGGGCATATTTCCCCCACCCCTTTTGGTGGACTTTGACTTTTTAAACTTGCATTGACATGGCTTTATTTTGCAACCAATTCTATCCTTCAGATAATAACAGTAAATGCCAGTAACTTGGATTTAGTATGACTGAAACATTATTAAAAACTCTGAAAACTAAGAACGTATAAGTTGAAACTTTTAATGGCAAGCATTCTTCCTTAAATATCAATAATGAAAGTGCCTGCATATTTATTGGCAAGGTCAACACCTACACAGAATTGTGGCAACCAATCTGGAAGATGGGACAAATCAATTCAGCTAAAACAAAAATCTACCCATTTTTAAGATAATACACACAAAAGTGAGATCAAACTCACAACTACACTGTGATATACTCAAACCAGAGGTACAGTTTATTGCACACATTGTTAGACATAAGGGTGCACTTTCCAACAGGAGTGCCCTGACAAACGTGTGGAGAGAGAGAATTGGAAAAGGTAGAGATTATTTAATTAGGCAGAACTTAAGTACAAAAACACATCCAAGTGATACCAGTTTAATCATGTTCTTGCTTTTATGATGAGTCCAAAAGGGGAGTTGGTCCGAAATTTCTTTTTATTATTCACTCATGGGGCATGACGTCGCTGGCTGGCCAGCATTTATTACCTAGTTGCCCTTGAGAAGGTGGTGGTGAGTTGCCTTCTTGAACTGCCATTGGTTGACCCATCATGCCATTAGGAAGGGAATTCCAGGATTTTAACCCAGCGACAGTGACGGAACAACGATATATTTGAAGTCAGGGTGGTGAGTGGCTTGGAGGGGAATTTGCAGGTGGTGGCATTCCTATGCATGTGCTTCTGTTGTCCTTCGGGATGGAAGTGATTATGGTTTTGGAAGGTGATGTCAAAGAATCTTTGAATTTCTGCAGTGCATCTTGTAGTTAGTATACACTGCTGCTACTAAGTATTGGTGGCGAGGGAGTGGATGCTTTTTGATGTGATAACAGTCAAGCAGGCTACTTTGTCCTGGATGGTGTTGAGTTTCTTGATTGCTGGAACTGCATCTGTCCGGGCAAGTGGGGAGTATTCCATCACACCTCTGACTTGTGCCATGTAGATGGTGGGCAAGCTTTGGGGAGTCAGAAGGTGAGTTACTCACCCCAATTTTCCTAGCCTCTGATCTGTTGTTGTAGCCACTGTGTTTATGTGCTGAGTCCAGTTGAGTTTCAGGTCAGTGGTAACCCCAAAGATGTTGGTAGTGGGGGTACTCAGTGATGGTAACACAGTTGAATGTCAAGGGACGGTGGTTAGATTGGCTCATATTGGTCGTTGCCTGACATTTGTGTGGTGTGAATGTTTCTTGCCACTTGTCAGCCCAAGCCTGGATATTGTACAGAGCTTGTTGCATTTGAACATGGAATGCTTCAGTATCTGAGGAGTCGTGAATGCTGCTGAACATAGTGTTGCAAATAACCAAGGGTCTGTAACCTGTTTCAGAGGTTAAGTGCTAAGTTATTAACACACCATCTATTGAATAGGTGTGACTTGCAATTTTATTTAGTGGGTTTCTTTTTCTTGGCAATGATCGCTTCTCTGACAGGAGGTGCATGGGGATTTGTTGGTTGGCTGATGTTGATGCCTGAGAAATTTTTGCAAGTTTGTTGTCAAGTCCCAGACATATGATTATAACAGCCAAATTTGTTCTGCTATTTGAGATAGTAGGAACTGCAGATGCTGGAAAATCTGAGACAACAAGGTGCAGAGCTGGATGAACACGGCAGGCCAAGCAGCATCATAGGAGCAGGAAGGCTGGCGTTTCGGGCCTAGACCCTTCA